CACATTTTTTGGTGAGGAGAGTTGAGGAAACAAAATCTAATGACTAATACTGTTGCCAAAATTTTTTTTGGCTGAAGGAAAGTAAGGCAACAAAATCTAATGACTAAAACTGTGGACAAAAATTTTGGTGAGGAGAGGTGAGGAAACAAAATCTAAGGAAACAAAATCTAATGACTAAAACTGTGGACAAAAATTTTGGTGAGGAGAGGTGAGGAAACAAAATCTAATGACTAAAACAGTGGAACAAATTTTTGGGTGAGAAACAATGCAATCTGATCAAATCTAATGAAAACCATTGTTTTGATCAAATTTGATCAGATTGCATTTTTTCTCACCCAAAAATTTTGGTGAGGAGAGGTGAGGCAACAAAATCTAATGACTAAAACTGTGGACAAAAAAATTGGTGAGGAGAGCTGAGGAAACAAAATCTAATGACTAAAACTGTGGACAAAAATTTTGGTGAGGAGAGGTGAGGAAACAAAATCTAATTACTAAAAACTATGGACAAAAATTTTGGTGAGGAGAGGTGAGGAAACGAAATCTAATTACTAAAGCTGTGGACAAAATTTTGCCCACAGTTTTAGTCATTAGATTGTGTTTACTTTCTCTCACCCAAAAATTTTGTCCACAGTTTTAGTCATTAGATTTTGTTTCCTCAACCCTCCTCACCAAAATTGTTGTCCACCGTTTTAGTCATTAGATTTTCCTTTTCCTGTCCCCTTTCCTTGTGCTAATCCTTTTCCTTGTCCTCTTCCGTTTCCTTTTTGTTTCCTCTTCCTTGTCCTTTTCATCGTGCTTTTCCTTTTCCTCTCTCTCTTCATTTTCCTGTTCCTTTTCCTCTTCCTTGTTTCCTTTTGCTTGTTTTTTTCCTCTTCCTTGTTTCCTTTTTTTTCATGTTCCTTTTCCTCTTCCTTTTCCTTTTCATCGTTTTTTTAAAACCCTTTTCCTCTTCCTTGCCCTTTTCCTATGCCTCCTTTTCCTTTTCCTCTTCCTTTTCTGTTGCGTTTTCCTTTTTTTACACCTTTTTCCTTTTTTGCCCTTGTTCTTTTCCCTTTCCTCTTCCTTTTCCTTTTCCTCTTCCTTTTCTTTTCCTGTTCCTTTTCCTCTTCCTCTTCCTTTTCCATGGGTTTCAACTACCCTTTCATCAAAGGGTTTTTCAGCATTTTTTTTTCAAAATCATAGTTTTGATCAAATTGTTTTTTGTAAAAGATAAGTAGTAGAAACAAGAAACAACACCACCAATCACAACTTCAAGAAAACAATGAAATTGTTCCAAATAAACTTGTTTAAATCAACTTACTTGCAAATTCAATAGTATACCTAGTCATGGTAAGCCTCATACCCGACCAATCACAAGAGGTTGCAAAACCATTCAGTGACCCCTTGAGGTTAATGAAGGTGTTGAAACCCACACAGTAAAATACATGTAGGCTTCACCTCACCCTTTCAGCAAGGGGTTGAACACACTACACTAAGTTACATTTAGATTTCATTTGCTCTTTTCAACAAGGGTTGAAAACAATACACCGAATTAGACATAGGTTTCTGCAGCCCTTTCAACAAGGGGTTGAAAGCCTTCATCGTACATTTTGTGTTTGTGAGAATTTGGTTCAAGGTGTAGCTGTGGTCAGCCATGGCTCCAAAAAAGGTGATGAAGGTAGTGAAAAAAGGGAAACCAAAGGGCAAGTCCTTGACAAAAGGAAAAGGCATTCTCAAAAATCCCTTGACAAAAGGGAAAGGAAGTGGTGCACACACCCTGAAAAAGACAAATCTAAACAAACTGGGCAAGCTCACCTTAGCAGACAAAGTCCAGAAGGCAAGTGAAGGAGCTGCAAGCCCAGAAGAAGCAGCCACAAACCTCAAAGGTTTGTGCAATACCCAAGAAGCAGCCTGATGACTTGGTCATGGGGCAGCATGCTTTCCAAGCAGAGCTGCCTCAATACACATCTCCTGATTTGTGCAATACCCGAGAGCTGCACACTGCCCAGCACATGGCCTGCGTTGGACGCTTGGATTGCATGGTCTTTTGAGGCTTTGGCCAAGGGTTGGCGCCCCTGTGAAGACCCTTGGGGCAAGGGGAGTTGGCATCCTTTGCTGGCAAGCCCTCAACTAAAGGGCACCACAGGGCAGCACTGTGGTCAATACAGGGCGATGCTGAATCTTACTCAAATTTCCTCAAAGTTGGACGTTGGGCCTCCCAGTATCCTTGCTGCATGCCCTCCTGGCAAGTCAGTCAAGATATTGAAAGCATCAGAGCAAGACTGCAAATATGTGAGCCCAGCAGAGGCACTCCTTGCCAAAAGGAACAATCATGTACTCTTTGGAATCCCTGTCAGGGGTGATGCCCTGCACATATTGTACAGCAGGGCCTTCCATGATTGGCCTAACAGGCAGAAAGTGGCAGCCTCCAAGAGAACCCAAGTCATATTTGCCAAAGTGCGAGACATCTATTCTGAAAGAAGAATTTCCAACAGGTTGACAAACCTCAGGCTCTCCATGATCACCGACACTCAGTCTCCTTTCAAGGCCTTCCCAGTCTTGGAACGCAAGGCTGCAGAATGCAAATGGTTTCTGCCAGTGTTGGAGCAGGTTCTGGCAGATTGCCTGGATCTTAGAGTTGAAATCCACCAAAGCATGATACAATGCTGCAAAGCCTTCAACGAGTTGGTGGAGCACTTCGATGGCTGTGGTGCTTTTCTCACTGCTGCAGAGTTTGCAGCAGCACAGGAGCTTTCCACAAGCTTTTTCAACCACTACAGTAGGTTGAACTGCTGGGCAGCAGAAGAAGGAAGGAAGCTCTTTCACATCACCTTCAAGTTCCACTCCATGCTCCATTTGGTTCAGAACAGCAAATGGATGAACGTCAGGCTGCATGCCAACTATAGAGCAGAATCCTTTGTGGGACAGATGTCTGTCATTGGCCACAGTGTGAGCTTTGGAAACAAAGCCACAAGAGTTTGCACAAAACTCACGCAGAAGTACTTGGTACTTCTGCACCTGCAGCTCACCAGGCCTGGCTTTGGCAATCAGCCAGAGGATGACAGTGACCCTTAGGTGTGGAAACCTGGTCAAAAGGTTGAACACCTTGGCAAAAGGTGTGGGCACCTTCATGTGAACACCTTGACAAAAGGTATGAACACCTTGGCAAAAGGTGTGGACACCTTGGCAAAAGGTGTGAACACCTGGGCAAAAGGTGTGGACACCTTGGCAAAAGGTGTGTGGACACCTTGACAAAAGGTGTGTGGACACCTTGACAAAAGGTGTGTGAACACCTTGGCAAAAGGTGTGGGCACCTTGATAAAAGGTGTGGACACCTTGGCAAAAGGTTGGAACACCTTGGCAAAAGGTGTCAACCCCTTGGCAAAAGGGTGGAGCACTTTGACAAACAAAATACAAAGATCAGTTTCACTTGCATATCTTGAAGAGATTGCATGAAAAAGGACATATATAAATCATTGATTGTCTAATTGATTTTGTTATTGATATTATCAATAGAAAAGCTTGTAAAATTTATTGATTTTCAATGTGTTTTTCTATTGAAAATGTAGTCTTCCAGATCAATTAAAACAATTGATTTGGAAGACTACAAAATCAATTATTTTGAGCTTATTGATTAGAATCAATAACCGATGCTCAGTCAGCTTCAACAAAATTTGCACCACACCACACGTTTGGAATGATTTCGACCCGTTCTGAGCACACTCCCATCCACCAAAATCGCAATTTCAGCTGAGACTGGTCACGAAAACAGAGCTTCGATGCCACACCCTGAAACGCAAATCCCAATGGCACCACCCCAAAAACACGACTCTCTAAATGCTAATCCCAATGGAACTGCGTAGCAAACTGCGGATCTCACAAAACGCTGTGCCTGTGCAGCGAAATGCATCACGCTTCTTGCGCGACATGTCATTTTCATGCAAATCACAATGGAATAGCATCGCAAACTGACACGTGACACATCCATGAAAAGTCACTTGCAAAAGCTTCCCCCAATGGCAGCGCCTTAGCGCTCTACTGCGAACACCTGCGAACGGTTGCGGACGGTTGCGAACGGTTGCGGACGGTTGCGAACATAGAAACAACGGGTCGCGGACAAGGCTCTATACCCCCGGACCCCCAGAGTTAAACGAGAACCCTTCGCTACGCATTCGGGAAAACAGACACCCAAGCAACATGTCACGTTTCATGAACCGCCCATATCGGCTCGCCCGAAAAAAGGACACGTCCCCGATCTCCCGGACCACATAGAGGCGAGGGGAAGGGGCACCGCGCGGACCGGAGGAAAGCTCCGAAGCCCTGTGCGCGCGGGCGATCCGCTCAGGACCTGTGCGGATCACACCTCGTATCTCTTTCAGCTGGACGGCGCCAACTTTCGGAAGATCATGGTGCGCTCCGTGGCATGGCGCAACGTGAAGAGACGGATAGAGAGAGAGAGAGAGAGAGAGAGATGAGGTTTTTTTCATCGAGAGGTGACATGGATGGTGGCGCCACCAAAAAGGACCAGAGCATTTGGGGGGAATTTCACTTCCAACGTGAGGGATTGGCAGATGGGTGTCACTGTCATGTTTTGTCTTTCCACATGTTTCTTTCGCATTTGTGCCGCTTTCTTTGTGAAACCCGTGAGAGTTTGGTCCCTCGGCGAGATGACAAGGTGGAAGATGAGACAGGTCACTGACATAAGATCTTACAAGTGATTATGACATATGATGACAATCCACCTGAAACATTATTATTTTACAACATGTTTGTCTTGACCAATCTTTGCTTGCCATGGCCGGGTTGCATGCAAGGACCAAGCTGAGCTGTGCGCAATGTACGCGCGACTCTTTCACAAGGGCTTGATGGAGGCGTCTGTAACTGAGGAGCAGTGCCGCGCATGGAGCTCATTCGAAGCGAAAGAAAGGGCCGGGCCACGTAGCTCGTATAGATGTCCCATGTCCCCGTTGATGCCAACACCGAACGACCACATCGCCTGAACGACCCGCAAGCACAAGGAATTCCTTATTGCCCCTTTGGGAGAGGAAGTTAGAGACAGTCGGAGATTGCTTTTCCAGATTCGGGTGGAGTTCAACAGTTGAGACAAACTGTAGTACAGTCTGTAGCACACCGGACTTGAAACCATCTATATGGAACCTTTCTTGGGTCCTTTCAACATCCAACTTGTCCACTTTTCACACCTTTCTCACTCTTGTTTCACCATGCTTTTCGCCTCACTTCTTGCACTCCCATCCGCCTCCCATCCCCGTCGCGAGCTCCAGGAGGACGCCAGCGACTTGTTCGGCAGCGACGAGGACGTCGCGCAGATCATGACGCCCATCCGCGCGGTGATCCGCACCAGCCGCTGGGCGGATGGAGATGTGGCGAGAGGGTTTTCGGTAGGTACATTTTTTATCATTTTTTCGGATTTGATTAGATTCTGGTGTTGTAGTGCTTTTTTATAGTGTATAATGCTGTAACTTCATCAACAGGCTTTTATGCACGTCAGGCCGTCAGGCTGGGATATACTGTTTGCTTCTGAGCGATGGAGCGATGGCGGATGGAGCGAGTCGCTGGTCGCTGAGGCAACTTGATGGCGGACTTTGGGCACTTCTCCGCTGTTTGGGCTTTCCAAGTCTGGAAGGAATGGCTTCAGGACAAGCACCCTGGCGGGTTAACGGTCGGAAACGCCCCAAAGAAGGAAAACACAGGCACACACACAGGGGGTTGGAGAAGAGGATTGGAAACGTAAACGGCGGCGTGGAGGATTCATTTTGTTTCTTAATGTTCTTGTTCTAGTAAAGATCAGGATGCCGAGAGACGCACGTGATGGCACACGATAGCAGAAGTGATAGGATCCTATCGGATCTATCGGGTTCTCGCTGAAGGGACTGAGCATGAAAAAGCGACCATGGAAAAAAGCGTGTTGCAGGAGGGAGGGACAGACAGACAGAGAGAGAGAGAGAGCGCCTCAAGTTTTGCAGAGTTCCCTGTTTTCAACGGGCAGCCATTTTAGAGCATTCAACTATCAAGCCGGCGCCTCTAAGGAAAGATGAACGACGGAGATCCAAGAGAAACAGTTTTAATTTTTGCGGCCGCAGAGAGGCGTCCTAATGCTCCTCAAAGGATCGTTGGACCGTCCCAGGTCGGTTTCCCATTTGGGGTAACCCACCGCTTTCGCGGTGGGGGGGTCGAAACTGGCGCGCGACGCGTTTTCTCGACGCTGCGCCAAATGACTTCTTAGTGGCCTTGTTTTAAAGCCACTTAGCATGAAAATTTGTCAAGGTCACTTCACAAGATCGATGGGCTTTAAGTGACCTCTTTGAATCGAGTCACAAGTGACCTCTTTCAGTGAATACTGTGGTTTTCACATCTATGTTTAAGGTGCTTTATGGGTTTTTGTCTTGGAAGAAGGATCCCAAGGAGCTCGAGGCAGTGAACGACCACCTGTGCTGCAGCACCTGGGATCGGAGCAAGCTGACCATGTGGAGACATGATATCGTGTTATATTGCATGCCATAGGCTGAGGATGCTGTGACCCATAGCTCTATGGTATACACATCATGTGTGCTCCTGCGTTTTTCTACCTCCCTTCCTTCAAGCTATGGCTGATGAAGCTGGTCGTATACTTCTCAAGTGTTTGAGCAAAGGTGGGAGGACACTCAGCTGCTAATTGAGTGACTGAATGAGCATGATTCTAGAGTATTGATGTCTTGTACAAACTAGTGCTGCAGCACTGCATACCATTCACATGGGGACTTGGAGGACTTGTCGACTACAGACTCTGAGGAAACTTCGGAGGGAGATGGTGGTGCACATGAACAAGGATGATATCCAAGAGGAACGCATCATGGTACAGGGCGGTGATATCCGTCAACGGGGAAACCAGTGGTTGCGAAAAGCTTGGCAAAAGTCAGGTGTCACCCGTGTCCCACGCGAAGCGGAGTTTAGAAAGATTGTGAGGAGTCTGGCTAGCCAGTACAACCTATGCAGCACGTTACCGGTCAATAGAAAGTTTGCTCAGTTCGATTTTTATCTATTTTTGTACACTAGTCTTAGTTGTTTTGAGGGGACTTCCAAGGTCTCGGGCCATCATCTTTTGTATCTGAGGCCCTGGGTTGGATGATGAAGCCAAACAAGCTTGGATCAGGGAAGAGGCTGTCTCGTTTTAATTTCTTCGTTATTCACATGTTTTATTCTAATTTTGCATATCATATCTGTTGAACGTACAGGCTGCCAAATGCCATCGGGTGGTCATCCGACACAAAAAGGTGGGAGGTCGACCCAGCTCAGCAAGCACAAAATCAGCGCAGGGTATTTTGGCAGTGAACCTGCGTGCACCGTTTTTAGAGCATCAAATGTGTTCTTTTGGAAACCTATACTATATTATAGATCGAGAGCAACCTGAGCAACTCAGGTCTTTTGTTGATCAAGCTGACACGCAACCTCCCTTGCTGTCGGGCTTGGATGATGAAGCTATGCTCCTTGAAAACGTCATTATATACTGTGACGAGTGCTCTCCAAAAAGAATAGATCGATAAGAATAGTAATCCCAAACTCCCATCGACCGTGTGCTCAGGAAAGCTTGTAGTTCAGTGCCTGAGGACACTGATTGCAATGATCCTGGTGATTGCGAGGCTAGCGAAGAGGAAATCGAAACTGATGATGAAGTGGTTTCTTGGCCATAGTTCCAAGTGCACCCATATTGAGTTCAACTTTCTACGCTTGGTTCCTCGAGGTTAGTGATATGGAGAACAGCAAAGATCCTGATGAGGCTATGATGCGTTTGCAAATGCTAGTAGTGGCCATGAAACATTTGTCATTGCTGGCAGGAGGTTGAGCTGACACTAAAGGATCCTTCAAGTGAGGAGGACGATGGAGAGTTAAAACCATATGAGGAGGACAGCGAAGCTTCAGGACAAGAAAACGCTGAAGAAGACACAGCACATGGGCCAAACAAGAAGGAGGAACCACACCACTCAGAAGATGAAGACCAGGAGGATGAGAAAAATGATGGAGCAGAGGATGCCACACAGATCACACAGGACGAGAAGGAGGATAAAGCCACGGATGGCATGGAGGATCAGAACGATGATGAATCAGCGGATGAAGAGGAGGGGGAGGAGGATGAGAATAAGGATGAGGTGAAGGATGACGCGGAGGATGAAAACGCGGCTGAATCAGCAGTTGAGGAGGAGGATGAAAATGGGGAGGTAGCAAAGGATGAGAACGCGGCTGAATCGGCAGATGAGGAGGAGGAGGAGGAGGAGGAAAATGGGGAGGTGGCAAAGGATGAGAACGCGGCTGAATCGGCAGATGATGAGGAGGAGGAAAATGGGGAGGAGGCAAAGGTAGATGAGGAGGAGGAGGATGAGGACGCGGCTGAATCAGCAGATGAGGAGGAGGAGGAGGAGGAGGATGGGGAGGAAGCAAAGGATGACACGGAGGATGAGGACACGGCTGAATCAGCAGATGAGGAGGAGGAGGATGGGGAGGAGGCAAAGGATGAGACAGTGGATGAGAATGCGGCTGAATCAGCAAATGATGAGGAGGAGGGTTGGGAAAACCATCATCGTGGCCCGCGACCCTTTCAAGCATGAATGCTAGGAATGCTGCCTTGGCGACCATTTGCAGCGCTGAGGAGGAAGGATTGAATGATATCGATAAAGAACTTGAAGAGGCAGTTGAAAAAGAAATGGGTGTTCTGCCACTTCCAAAGCATCGTCGGAGGACAAAATCGTTTCGTATCTTGAACGCATATATGGCTGTTTATGAAGTCAGTGCATGAGCTGCATCATCGCGCTGCCAATATTATCTTAAAACTTGGCCATGCAAACAGGCCCCCAAATACCCTGAACATTTTCAACTATTGACTGTGGACTTGGGGGGTCTGTTTTCCTGACCAAGGCTGAGTGGGAAATTGAAACCTTTTGTCAGTGTAAGGTAGCCCAAAGCCAAAAGATGACGAGAACAATGAAAAGAAGGAGGAGACCCACGTTTGGATTTCATCGCATAGTTTGCTATGTTTCTTTTTGCCTGCAGGAACCGGTTGCTAACTCGAAGGTCACCCAGGACTTTTCCCAAGCAGCATTCCAAGATGCAGTTAAGAATGTGCAAGCGCGTGCTTTGAAAAAGGCATCCATGCGTGCACCCACACCGGAAGAGCAACTTGCTCTTCTACGTCAAAAGCAGGGGAAGCAACAGCGGGAGATACTTAGCCAGTACTACATGCATCGATGTTTTCAATTTTGCCTGGCCATCAATATCTCGGTCACTTGAGTTCATACAATATCTAAGGAAATATGAGGTTATCGAACAAGATCAAAACCGGCAGGACGGATGGACAGTTGAGGTTCGGAAGAGAAAGTCGGGCAAATTGCAAGGCGGCGTGTACAAAGTCTTCATAGATCCGAAGGGTGTCAAGTTCTATAGTAAAACCAAGGCAGAACTTGCAGGGATGGCAAAGAGTTCAAGTCCCAAGGCCCATCCCAAGCCAAAGGCAAAGGGCAGGGATAAGAAGAAGCAGAAGCAGGCCTAGTTAGTTATCTGATATGGGTGAGCTAGTAGCAGTGCCTCGATATATCTTGTAGATCACATGGACAGAAACAAAGGCCAGCTTTTGTGCTCCGATATATTACTTTATCGCATGCACCCGCTTTGTGTCATATATACATACTCTGCTTCGAACTGGTGTGTTTCTACAATTACAACATGAAGCGGTGCGAGTTCTGGGGTATGCGCAGGTGAATGGGGCCTGCCAACACCATAGGGGATCTGGGTCGGAAAAATCATTGTGTAGAGCGCTTGTTCCAGTTCATGGTCAACAGCTTGTCTAACTTAACACCCCACTGCTTGGACTCTTTGGTTGTTTCAATCGAGGTGGCTCTCAAGGGAATAGGATTCAGGCTGCTCTAGCTTTGAAGGATGAAGGTTGCTAACCTTCTTCCCATCTTTGCATTCCTGTCGCAAGTACCCTTGCCAGAAAGGCCGAACGACTTCGTTCCTTAAAGGCATTTGGTGAAATGATCGTTCAAAACATTGGTTGTGATATCTCATGTTCATACCCTCGACTCCTGACCAGCCAGACCACCCTTCCCAGGTTGAGGTGTGCGCAGGAGAAGGCAATCTGTCCTCCGCTTTGCGCAGCAGTGGATTTCAGGGCAAGGAGTTTGATGTTTCTAGCATTGGAACAAGTTACCATGGGTGAACATAACATGTGCGCATTAAATTCATGACCATCACGAGACAAATGCTGAGGTTATCTACAGTGGAAACCATAACCTGATGAGGACAGTCGGATTCTTGGCGATCATAGCTGCTGCCCCTCGATATAATTAGTGGGTGCACGGCAAATGCTTCAGGATCGAATGCGACATTGATCTTTGTTCCAACAGGAGCCAACAGACCTAACAGGGCAAGTGCCCTTTTTAGGCAACATCTTCTGAAAAGGATAGGCCAAACAAATGCCTTTAAAGTCTATTGGCCTTTCTTGCTTGTTGTCAAGGTTCGGAACATCAGGCCAGGCGGCCTATTGGTGGTAGCTCCACCATGTAATACCTGGGTTGTTGTGTATCTTGGACTAGTCGATGTGTGTCCTTGTTCTCTCATGCAGCACCAAAATCCCTGGCGCAATAAAATCGCACTTAGGTCAAGGTCTCAGACTGGCAGGTCTTGGTCAAACCCTGGAGGGAATCAACGCCCATGTGTGCAATGGGCCAACATCTTTGTTCTTCGACTACTCTACATGTGCCTTTCCTTCACTATACTAATCTAATTGAAGCCATGCACGCAACAACAATTGATATTCGGGACATGAGTGCCCTGCTATCACAACCTAAGACTACTCTATGCCCATCAGCGCGGAGCTGGAGCAGCCGATCTCTTCAGTTACCAGGTTCAATAGTGATGCTGTGACTGCTCATTATGTTGGCAGTGCGAGGTCTGTGTACTTCTGAAAGTGAGCCAATCCCTTGAACTGGTGATGTCATGGCCAGTGATCAGGTCTTGTGGCATTGGCGCCCTATGCAGCGCTTTTTGGATTTCACAAAGGCTCAACGTGTTGTATTTCCAATGGGCTCTTATGGGAGTCCCACACTCAAATTCACAGTGTGCACTGACCTCTGTATGAGCAACCTTTTTTGGGGGTTGAAAAGCTAGTTTCATGAGTGGCCACTATATGTTTAAGCTTTATGGATTGAATGGCGTGTGTCACGTCTCCCAGGTGCTGGTCTACGTTGACAGCTGTTTCTTCCCTGCGGCGTCCTCTAAACATCCAGCAGCTTCGCCGACTTCTTGACAGGTCGGGCCTCGGGATGCGCATTGAAAGGTGGAACTATCTTAGATCATGGACTCCATGTTTGGCTGTTTGATCCAGGGTCTCTGTTGCAGCATACTGGAAGCACTTTCTATTTACAGGCTTTGAGCTCAATCTGTATGTGATGCCTCGATATAACCAAGTTGATTTCTTCACTAAAGATGTGTGGAATACAATTGACACTTCACTCTCGTCCATGTCATGTGTTTGAAACCTTCCCCGAGGAAACCACTCGTGAAGAAGACCATTTCGAAGACGGGGAAACCTCAAGTGACAGGCCTCCCAAACCAGTTGAAGCAAAGTGCAGCTTATCCGTGGGCTTTTGGTTTGGCAGTTGGGGCATTGCTGAGTCCTGAGGGGTTACCAAACCCTTCAGCAGATTCTATGGTGCATGTACTTTTTGGTGGTGTTGATCGCTATAGCATATGTTTTGCAACTTTGAGTTAATGCAATCTCTCGATCGTAGGTTCTCTCTGCACAGGGTCATGCATCTAAGGAGATGCCAACACATGGGACTGAGAGATTTTGTGAAGACGATCAGGGTGCATTGGATGACCTGATCAAATACAATGGCCGAGCCAAAGCATGGTGGCGGAAGCTAAAGCTCAAGTGAGCTTGGGGGTCAGTCTGGGCCCAGTCCACACCCATAGGCCACCTCCTGTGGTTAGTGATCCAAACCAAAGTTTCAGGCCCTCCTCCACAGACTTTTTTTGCACCGGTACACAAAGATATGGAACCGAGGTTATCAAAACACGTGTTATATTGGTGCCTGCATGGTTGTTTTCTTTTCTCCACTCTGACATCATTAGTCTTCTATGGGAACGACTAGGCCTCATCATAGGATTGGCTCACCACGTAGGGGGCGTGGTGTCTTTCTGGTGCTAAATGTTTTGAACAGTTGGTGGACCCTGTGAGCTGACCCAGCCACTTGGAGGAGCGATAGAGCTTTTGCGTGTGAGACCTCACCGTGGACAAACAGAGTGGGAGGTGGATTGTACATGTGTCTGCGACCAACATAGTTGATTGATCGATCGATCGAGTGCTGTATCGTTAAACCTGATGGCCGATGCATTCCCTCCCCAGCTTTGAATTTTGGAAGTGGGTTCCTGCTGGAGCCATGAGAGCCATGACACGTGAGCAGTGGTTTGAGTACCTCAGCATCCTAGCGAATGAAAAGATTTGCGCAAGCTGTTGGGCAACTCAATTGAAAAAATATTTGACAAGGTTTGGCATGCCCAACCATGTTTCGATGCTGGTCTATAAATATGTGCATGCGTGCGTAATAAGCTTTGGTGGCGCCCTGCAGGTCTGAATATCGCGCTCTAATACTGAGGTAAAGACTGCCGTTGTGACCTCTCTGAGAAGGACCCCGCAGAACTAGCTTAGCTAGCGATTTGGAGAAAAAACAAATTCGATCCTAATTCGATCAAGTTTGCTGATCGATGTCCTGATATCGAAATCGTAGCAAACCTCGAGAAAAAGCTCGCGTGCCCCTATCTGGGGAGCCAAGCGTGATTTCTTGCAAACAGCAGGCCTGCGATGTTTCTTTGGAATTTGGAGCGTGTCAATGCGTGTCAATGGCGTGTCACGGAGGGGTCCTGTAGAGGTCGCTTAGAGCTTCTAGAGGTCACTTAGAGGCTGAAGCGGACACTTGTCCATATAGGGGAAACGTGTCAATTCGTGTCACAAAAATAGCCCATTTGGGTTCAGCACCTTGTTCTTGGGTCGAAGACCTTCAGCGCTCAGTGAGGCCCAAAACGTGTTTTTGTGTGAATTCTGTTTTTGCACCATGCGCCATGAATTCTGTTTGTGCCAGCCAGCGCCAGCTCTACAGGCCATGTCGGAGTCAAAGAAAGGAAAGCCCCGCACTGCAGAAGAAGCTGACATAGCAGGACCAGAAGATCAGAATCCAAAGCATCAAAGAAAAGAAGGAACCGCAAAGGAAGCTGATCAGAAGAAGAAGAAAAAGGTGTCCACAGGAGGAGAGGATACGAAGGAGGCTGAGAAGAAGGCAAAAGAAGACAAGGAAGCAAGGAAGGTTGACAAGAAGGAGAAGGCACCCAAAGAAGATGATGCAAAGGAGGCTGAGAAAAAGAAGAAGGTGGCCAAAGGAGGAGAGGATTTGAAGGAGATTGAGAAGAAGGCAAAAGAAGACAAGGAAGCAAAGGCGGCTGAGCAGAAGGAGAAGAAGACACCAAAAGAAGACGATGCAAAGGAGGCTGCGAAGAAGAAGAAGGTGGCCAAAGGAGGAGAGAATATGAAGGAGGCTGAGAAGAAGGCAAACGAAGACAAGGAAGCAAAGGAGGCTGAGAAGAAGGAGAAGAAGGCACCAAAAGAAAACGATTCAAAGGAGGCTGAGAAGAAGAAGAAAGTGGCCAAAGGAGGAGAGGAATCGAAGAAGGCTGAGAAGATGGCAAAAGAAAAGAAGGAAGCAAAGGAGGCTGACCAGAAGGAGAAAACACCAAAAAAAGACGATGCAAAGGAGGCTGAGAAGAATAAGAAGAAGGTGGCCAAAGGAGGAGAGGATACCAAGGAGGCTGAGAAGAAGGCAAGAGAAGAGAAGGAAGCAAAGGAGGTTGAGAAGAATAAAAAAGTGGCCAAAGGAGGAGAGGATACGAAGGAAGCTGAGAAGAAGGCAAGAGAAGAGAAGGAAGCAAAGGAGGCTGACCAGAAGGAGAAGAAGACACCAAAAAATGATGATGCAAAGGAGGCTGAGAAGAAGAAGAAAGTGGCCAAAGGAGGGGAGGATACGAAGGAGAAGAAGGCAAATGAAGAGAAGGAAGCAAAGGAGGCTGAGAAGAAGAAAGTGGCCAAAGGAGGAGACGATATGAAGTAGGCAGAGAAGAAGGCAAGAGAAGAGAAGGAAGCAAAGGACCAGAAGGAGAAGAAAGCGCCAAAAGAAGATGATGCAAAGAAGGCTGAAAAGAAGAAGAAAGTGGCCAAAGGAGGGGAGGATATGAAGGAGGCTGAGAAGAAGGCAAAAGAAGAGAAGGAAGCAAAGGAGGCTGAGCAGAAGGAGAAGACACCAAAAGAAGACGATGCAAAGAAGGCTGAAAAGAAGAAGAAGAAAGTGGCCCAAGGAGGAGAGGATACGAAGGAGGCTGCGAAGAAGGCAACAGAAGAGAATGAAACAAAGGAGGCTGACAAGAGGGAGAAGACACCAAAAGAAGACGATGCAAAGGAGGCTGAGAAGAAGAAG